TAAATACATTTCTGTAATTGCACCTTTATAGTAAAAGTCTGAATCATAATGCCTCCCACGGTTTAACAACTTTCCACGTGGAAACAAACCACTTTGAGTCCCCCTCGGGATGAGAAAAGCGGTATACAAATACTGTAAATAAAAACAAACAAATAAATAATTTACACTTACAGGATGCCTCTGGTACCTAAAAGTGTTTGATTTTTCTGCAGTAACACAATGTACAGTTAGGGTTGAAGATATTCAAACTATACCTCTTTGAGCTCCTAATATCATACTTGTTGTAGAAGAGGAGCAGATGAATGTATTTGTGTTGGCAGTACAATTGCTGGCCTGAAAGGGGTTTTGTTTACAAATGCCTATTCAGCTGCCTGGGGATATAAGAGGTTACAAATTTAGGAAGATCGAGTTATTCAAAAAGCTGGCCACCTATCAGTAATAAGTATTACTGTTGATATAACTATCTGTTCAAAGTGCATGACATACTTTCAAGGGTTGTAAGCACTACCTAAGACAATTCTTATAATTCCTGTTGTTCGCATCAAAAGGTAAAGGGTGTAGCAGAGGCCAATATAAAATGATTTGCTGCTAAGATGCAAAACAGAACTATTGCTTTAAAATGCGCTGTAGTTACAGTGACAAACAGAAAGTGATTTGCGTCTGCCTTGCCCGCCAAACAGATTTTAACACTGACTTCCCTTTAAGCGGTTTCTGTGGAAGGAAACCGTGGACTGAAATGACCTGGTTTGTATGCTCCTATTTCAAGGGAGAAAGACACTTACACAACTAGTATGGGGAATCATAGTGTTGGAAGAGACCTCGTGGGTCATCCAGTTCAACCTCTGCCAAGAAGCAGGAAAATGACATTCAAAGCACCCCTGACAGATGGCCATCCAGCCTCTGTTTAAAAGCCTCCAAAGAAGAAGCCTCCATCACACCCCGGGGCAGAGAGTTCCACTGCTGAACAGCTCTCACAGTCAGGAAGTTCTTCCTATTGCTCAGGTGGAATCTCCTTTCCTGAAGCCATTGTTCTGCATCCTAGTCTCCAGGGCAGCAGAAAACAACCCTGCAGTTTTCTATTCACACAACTCTTCATCTATTCCTCCATGTGTTCTGGCAATCATACTCTCTCGTTAACAAAAATTTGATTAACTTTGCTCATTTGAGGGATGTGCAACCTCCACATATCATCCCCCATCAGCATAGTCACTGCTTGAGGAGGATGAGATTTGGAATTATGCAATATCTGAAGGGCTGCAAACTCTCCATCCTAGCTTTATATACTTCTTCCATTTTATTTCCATCTGATCTCTATCTCTGTGTGCCAGACTTACAAGTAATCTGTTAGCCTTTAAGGTGCTAAAACAGTTAGTTGTCTTGCAATAAATCATGCTTATCACTTGCCAATAACTTTGACAAGGTCTTACACATAAACGTGTTTAATCTACCTGCTGCCCCATCCATCTTTAGCATTGCCTATAAGAAGTAATCACTTTATGCTGAGAGTACAGAAATCCTGCCTGCCCTATTAATAATTAAAATTTTGTATGATGGATCCTGTTACTGGATTACCAGACTTCCCATTCAGAGACTGTCAAACATATTTTAGATTAACCAGCTACAGTGTGCAGCAAGCAATACATCATTGTGTAAAAGTGGAATACGGCTCTTTAACAAATCAAATGTTACCTGACTTGATAAGACATTTCTTAGTACCAAGGTATTTCATGGTAACTAATGAAAAAACAACAAAAAACAACAACAACCCCCTTTAAAGTGTGCTATCCAAAGGCCAATATCATGTAGTTATTACTGATAATAACTGCCATGGAGTTATCATCATAGTACTCCAGAAACACACTGATTACACAATGTAACAATTTTTTTAAAAAAAATGTTCCTGGTTTGAAAGTGTTATTTCCTGTTTAAATGTACTGTACTTAATTTGAACTGTTGAACTTGCTGACTGAAAGGTTGGTGGTTCGAATCTGGGGAGCGAGGTGAGCTCTGGCTGTTAACCCCAGCTTCTGCCAACCAAGCAGTTGGAAAACATGCAAATGTTAGTAGATCAATAGGTACCGCTTAGGCAGGAAGGTAACGGCACTATAATGCAGTCATACTGGCCACATGACCTTGGGGGCATTTATGGACAACACCGGCTCTTTGGCTTAGAAATGGAGATGAGCATTACCACCCAGAGCCAGAGTCAGACACAACTAAACTTAATGTCAAGGGGAAACCTTACCTTTATTTGAAAGTAGTTATTATATTCCAGAAACTTCATTTTTGTGACTGCCACAAACTATATTGGATTGGTTGAGACTCTTATCAGATAGTCATTGGAAAATGACAGCAAAATGCACTGCAGGACGTTCAAAGTTTTTGAATTTTAATAACTGAGTTATGGCACACCAAGTTGGGGAGTCTGCTGCATTAAAATCACTACTGTCCGAAAGGTCATGAGTTCAAAGCCAGCCCGGGTCAGAGTAAGCTCACGACCACTTGTCTAGCTTGCTGTTGACCTTTGCAGCCCAAAACAGCTGTATCTGTAAAGTAGGAAATTTAAATACCGCTTAAGCGGGGAGGCTAATTTAATTAATTTACGATGCCATAAAACTCTCCAGCAGCGTGTGAAAAGAATGAGGAAGTACTCCATTGGTGTCACAAGTGGACGGTGAAGTGACAGCTCCCCTGGTAGCCGAAATGCAAAGCATACCCTCATGAAGCTGGAAAGTTAAATAACCTCTGTGTGTCTGTCTATATATGTTGTGTGTCTATGGCATTGAATGTTTGCCATGTATATGTGCACTGTAGTCCGCCCTGAGTCCCCTGCAGGGTGAGAAAGGTGGAATATAAATACTGTATATAAATAAACGATAATAAACTTTTCCATATTAGGAAATGACATTTATAACCCAGGGACAAAAATCGTGTTACATACTGTTACTAGTCTGACTCAACAAAGAGACAACGTAAGTGATTAATTATGCTATCAATACGAAATGCACTCATAGTTTTTTAATGTGGAGTCTTTTGACTTATACAGTGGATTAAAGACAGCGGAAAGACTACATGCAAAAACCACAAGAATGATGAGGGGTATGCAATAGCTTCCAAAAGAAACACAAGGTTATAAGACTTACTTTTTGTGTGAACTCTCCCCCCCCCCCCAAATGCCATCTATGACAATTTTGTAAAATCTGAGTATTCCTTGCCTAAGAAAACTCTATAAAGTTCATGGGGTCAGCCTAGGTTGACAGGTGACTTGTAGGCACTTACTGACATACCACCCAGAACCGTCAGTTAGGGGATTTCATGTTTCATTTGTGTCATTTAGCACAATGTCCTGTGCCCAAAGCCCCTGTCTGAGAGAGAGAGACACACACACAGAGACACAGCCCATGGCTGAATGCCAGGACTGATGCAACCCATCCATCAAAGCAGCAGACTGGACTGCCTGTACACGCTTTACACCCACTTCTTGCACTGTCCTGGCATTCATCTGCGCTGTCAGGTTTCTCTGCAAGATCAACCTTCCCACAATGCACTGGAGAAGCCCATCCACCAGTGTGGAAGTCATGGAAGGGGGTGGGGGCTCCGAAATATCCACACAGCAAGATACATTTCTATGTGTGTATATGTGTGTGGGAGGAGAAAAAAGTCCTAAGGTAACCTAGCAACAACAGCAAAAAAATGTAGTCTATTGTTGAGACAGCCTCCTCTTTGGAGCAGCCATCTTTGACGTGTAACTCAGCCGGGGATTTCATCATTTCAGGCTGAGGAAGCCACTTCCAGATGTTAAAAAGAGATTTGCTTCTGTGGCTGCCAGCACAGCAGCACAGCAGCATCCACCCTTCAGACCGGTTCTCTCCAACACTCTTACCACAGCAAGAGAGACAGAGAGAGAAGATCCACGTTGTGGATCTGTCTAAGGGCTGGAGCTGTAGCAAAGCTGCTGGGAGAACAGCTGTACCCTCGCTCTTTCCAATGCCCAAATTCCCCTGAACCTTACACAGTTGTTAGTATCCTCATTGAGACTGCTATCTCCATGCCTTCCATTCTGCACAAAAATTGGGGAAACTGTATCCAAAATGAACACCCCCTTCCTCATTCCCACAGTCCATTAATAACAACCCAACCTTCCTCTAGTCTGTGCTTGCCTGCCCTTGAAGCTGCTCTGAAAGGTGGATATTGAGCGTCTCCAATATCCATAGAAATAGGATGGACAGAAGCTTATGCTCTTAGATGGGAAGTGGCTTGGGGCCCTTCCACACAGCCCTATATCGCTGAATATCAAGGCAGAAAATCCCACATTATCTGAGTGTGGACTTAGATAACCCAGTTCAAAGCAGATATTGTGGAATTTTCTGCCTTGATATTCTGGGATATAGGGCTGTATGGAAGGGCTCTCGGTTCTCCAAGTCTAGAGATTTACTTTTGAGAGGGGCCCCTCTATATGCAGATAGGATGTGCTGCCTTAGCCCCCTTCCACTCTGCCATTATATCCCAGGATCTGATCCCACATTATCTTCTTATCCCAGCTTATCTGGTAGTGGAGACTCATATAATCCAGTTTAATGTGGATAATGTGGGATCAGATCCACAGGGCAGTGTAGAAGGGGCCTTGGAGTGTGGTGGAGTCTCGTTCTCTGGAGATTTTAAAGCGCAGGCTGGATGGCCATCTTCCAGGAGGGCTTTGATTGTGTCTTCCTGCCTGGCAGAATGGGGTTGGGCTGGATGGCCCTACAAGGAGGGGGGTGTCTCTTTGAACTCTATCAATCCATGAAAGGGAGATTGGAGAGGGGATGCCTTTAGAAAAAGTGTCAAGGCAGGGTCTGTTCTCTCTCGGGCCCACTTGGATGGGCAAAAGGGGCTGCTGGAGGAGAAGGACGACCACCCCTTGGCCCAGTATATCAGGCTCAGGAGGGAAGAGGCAGAGAAGCAGCGAAAGGAGGGGGGTTGGAAGGGAAGGAAGGAAGGAATGGAAGGAGGCTACTCACCGCGCTCGCTCCTGCCGCTTCTGGCTCGTCGGGTCAGGCCAAGCCGGCCAAGCGAGAGAAGGGAGGCGCAGAGAGGAGCCGCCGGAAGACCATGCACTCCGTCCCAGGCAGGCAGGCAGGCAGCAAGCGCCGGCCAGGAGGAGGAGGAGGAGGAGGAGGAGGAGGGAGGCCGGCCGGCCGGGCGGGCGGGCGGGCGGGCGGGGAGGGGCCCACCGTCCAGACCGCCCTCCGCCGAAGGAAGGCAGGCAGGAAGGAAGGAGGGGGGGAAGGGGAGGGAGAAGAAGGGGACCTGGAGGCGTTTGTCCCGCCGCAGGTGGACCGCTCCAGTGGGCGAGGGGCGTCGTGGACACCCGAGAGCCCTCCCCTTCCCTCTGAACCCGGCCCCGCCGCCCCCAGCTTTCCCCAAGAAGCGCTCCCGTGCTGCGAGGAAAGCGGCAGGAGGCAGTGTTTCCCAAGCTCCGGCCTTTCCAGGTGTTTTGGACTTCAGCTCCCAGAAGCCCTGAGCATTCGCCGAGGCACCGAAGGCTCCTGGGAGTTGAAGTCCTTAATCACCTGGAGGGCTGAGGCTCGAATTACAGGCGTGTATGGCAGGGCTTTCGTAGCTGCAGCAGAGGGGGCGTCTACGCCAGGCATGGGCAAACTTCGGCCCTCCAGATGTTTTGGATTTGAACTCCCACAATTCCTAACAGCCGGTAGGGATGAAGTGTGCCCACGCATGGTCTACGCTGTCGAATTTGACACCACTTTAACTGCTCAATGCAGTGGAATCCTGGGAGCTGTAGTTTGGAGAGGTGCCCACACTCTTTGGCAGAGAAGGCTGAAGACCAGTGGTTCTCATCCTGTGGATCCCCAGGTGTTTTGGCCTTGATGTTGTTCATCCGTTCAGTCGCTTCCAATTCTTCGTGACCTCATGGACCAGCCCACGCCAGAGCTCCCTGTCGGCCGTCACCACCCCCAGCTCCTTCAAGGTCAAGCTAGTCACTTCAAGGATGCCATCCATCCATCTTGCCCTTGGTCGGCCCCTCTTCCTTTTTCCTTACATTTTCCCCAGCATCATTGCCTTCTCTAAGCTTTCCTGTCTTCTCATGATGTGGCCAAAATACTTCATCTTGGCCTCTACTATCCTTCCCTCCAATGAGCAGTCCGGCTTTATTTCCTGAAGTATGGACTGATTGGATCTTCTCGTGGTCCAAGGCCTACAATTCCCAGAAATCCCAGCCAGTTTACCAGATGTTAGGATTTCTGGGAGTTGAAGGGCAACACATTTGGGGACCCACAGGTTGAGAACCACTGCAGAACCTGCAAAACTATAACTCCTAGGATTCCACAGCATGGAGCCATGGCAGGTCAAGGGGTGCGAGTGTAGATCAGGTGTCTTCAACAGCTCTTTGCACCTCCAACTCCCAGAAGCTCTCCCTAGCCAGCTTGTTCAATGGCCAGAAATTCTGGGGGGTGAAGTTCAAAAACACCTGGAGGGCCACAGTTTGAAGAGGCCTGCTCTGCATGAACTCAACACACCACTTTTGTTACTGTTTGGCCAGTGGCAGCTGGGCAGGAGTTCCCTTTCTGCCTGCAACATGGGAGCTGGATTTAGAAAACAATGCTCCTTCTCTTTTTTTTTTCCTTCCAGAATTTCCGAGGTGCAGTATATGAATTGGGCACTTGAGGGAATCAGAAAGCTTTTTTGTGTGTGTTTTATAGTGGGCACATAGTAAAGCCAATTTCCCCTTGACATTAAGTCTAGTCATGTCCAACTTTGAGGGGTGGTGTTTATCTCCGTAGTCCGTAAACGCCTCCAAGGTCATGTGGCTGGCATGATTGCATGGAGTGTCATTACCTTCCTGCCAGAGCGGTACCTATTGATCTACTCACATTTGCATGTTTTTAACTGCTAGGTTGTCAGAAGCTGGGACTAACAGCAGGAGCTCACCTCGCTCCCTGAATTTGAACCATTGAGCTTTTGGTCAGTAAGTTCAGCAGTTCAGTGATTTAACCTGCTGCATCATGGGGGGGTACATAGAAGGCTTTTTTCTTTGTGTTTTATAGTGGGCACAACAGGAGCAGGAAGATAATTTGCTAGTAACCCAATTCCTTTCTGGGCTATAGGAAAATGACAAATAGGGTGGTCACGGGTCAGAGTAATGTGCAAAGTACATAATTCATTTTTGGAAAGTAGCATTCTGAGTGAGGCCCGTGTGTATAAGAAAGCCATGTGCCACCTTTTGCAAAGGGCAGACCTTGTGTTGAAAGTGGTCTCTGCTTGATGGGTGGATCTCTCTTTCTATCCTGAGAGAGGGATAAACTTGAAAAGGTGGGACATAGGGCTGATAGTATGTTGCTGCTGTCACTGCTTATTAGCAATGTAGCAAAATGTGTCACTTCAGGTTTGTGAATGCTACTTTCCAAAAATGTCTTCAATTTGCCAGTTGATTAATGGCAACCACATGAATTTTAATAGTGTTTTCTTAGGCAAGGAATACCCAGAGGTGGTTTTGCCAGTTCCTTCTTCTGAAATATACCCAACAGCAGGTGGTAGTTGTTGGCAGTCTGCCACCCAAGTACTAACTTGTGCTGGCCCTGCTTAGCTTCCAAGATCAGATGGGATTTGGTGTCTTTAGGCTCTTAAGTCTCAAACCATGACATGTTGCAATGGCAAGGTCTTTCCTCATTCATGTCAATATTGGCAAAGTGTACTCCTTGTTCAATGTCTGCAAATATTAAAGGGGGGGGGGGCATCTGTTCACATAGAAGCCTTTAGTTAGCAAGATTTAGTCCAGATCCAAGACATGAATGTCTTAGTGTCCACAACAATATTTTTAAAAGCCTGTTGTGGTTTATTGTAATTGTCCTGTTTTCAGGTTTGAATGTTGCAAAAAGTTAAGCTTGGATGTTCAAATTCAAGCTAACCATAACTGATGCAGAAATGACAGCAAATTGGGAGTTATTTGCTTGGCAGTTCAGGATTCTGTTCTTCTTCCTTGAACCTGTAATACATATTTGTGGACAGTAACTTCTTTAGTTCCACAATATATCTGTTTCTTATATGTACATTTGTGGAAAAACACATGTTCCCTGCTCACAGGAAAAACACGAGAATCAAGAGATAGAAAGGTTATGTAACCTCAAAACTTGACAAAAATAGAAAATAATACATGGGGTTGAGAAAAGTATGTTGAACTAAAATTGTTACTTTTTTAAAAAATCCCTTTGGGAATATTATATATTTTAAATTGACAGTACACAACAGACTGATATGCTCTGGTGTCCTCCATGTGTGTTAGACTACAGTCCTCACTATCTGCAATCAGAAGGGCATTTGGCAGTGCTCAGTTTGGATGATGCAAGTTGTGGTTCATCACATCTGGAAAAACCCTGTTGGTAAAGGCTGATTGACAATGGACATTATTTTAATAAATGTTCAAAGAAACCCAGCCCCACCAATGAATCCAGTGACTTGAACCTCACACAGGAATTGTGTGAGTTGTTTGAAAGGATTGATTATGTCCCCCTCAACCCTATTGTTTGTCACATTCTTCCAATCTTAGAGGAAGGAAAGACACACCCTACCAAACAAATTTTGTCAAGAAGAACCCATGATAGTGTTATTGAGGACCCCAGACACCCCCCCAATAATATATATATATATATATATATATATATAAACTGGACTCTGTGATATATAGTTCTTCCAAGGATGGAGGCCATAATGAACTGGAAATGTCCTCTGTCTCCCATGGTTCCTCAGGACTCCTCAGGACCATTAGCAACCCATCTGTCATGACCCCCAGACCCTCAGGCACCCACACCTCAGCATCACAGCTTGGGCCAGTCAGCTCTGGAGGAGATTTGCCAGCTGATTGTCTTCCCACCGGAAACCAGCTGATGGCCACACAGTAGCAAAAGCACCTTCATTTTCTGGCCCCAGACACTTTGTATGCCCTTCCTTCCCCCCCGGCGACTATGTTGCACCCCTCCCTTCTCTCCTTCTTCTTATTTTCTAAAATGTCCCTTCTTCTGTGAAAGCGTGCATAATTGAGTAAGTTAAAAATATAATAAAATACTACAAATGACCTCCTCAGCTGCTGCTCAGCCTTGGTGAGACCCCCACTCTTCCCCCTTCTTTCATATCTCTCCATCCCTCTCCCCTCCCTTTCTAAGCACCACTCAAAGACTGTTTCTCTTTTATTTTTATTATTTTTATTACTTTTTATTGTTATTTTAGTATTAAATTCTATAAAAAGAAGGCCAATGTTCATGAAGCAAAAAACTGTAAACTCCAGTAATCTCACTCCTTGAGCAATCTTCCAGACACCACATCCACACCCCAGATGCCAAGCAGAGATGGGTCATAATCCTTAGACAAAGGGCCTTCCCGGTTCACAACAGGAGGCCATCCATTCATGGCCCTGAGATAACTTCTTCAAGATCTTGGACCGTTACAGGACAAAGATCTGGAATGAAACTATAATTGCAATCCCATCTGCAAATCTACATCTCCAGACTCTTTGTGTCTGGACTTGGAAACCCATCCAGGACAATAACCCCAATTGTTACATCTGGCAGGGTCACGCATCTGCATAATCCTGTCATATCAGCTTTGGATTTTTCCTTTGTTCACTACATTCCTGAACCACATAGCCAGGGGCTGGCATGGCCCCTGGAGTTCCCTTTCCCGGACCTCCTCCACTGGCTGATCGGAGGCTTCTGGGCTTCCCTGCCCAGCTGGGATCCCTGGCTACAATGTTCATGCCTCAGCCAATCAGGGCAAAGTGTGCCAGCTTGAACCCCCCTCCCAGCCAATCAGAGGTCGGAAAAAGCACCAGCCAACTGGCCAATCAGGGAAGGGGAGGAAAATTTCAAAATGGGCGATGTCAGTGAATGAGAACTTTTGTTTATAAAGATGTCTGCTTGTGAATGTATTTTTATTCTTGTACCCTTCAAGCACATGTGTTGTAGAAGTGTCCCTTTTGCGCAAATTGAATAAAGTCTCTGTCATTTGCCTTCATCCTGGTGAGATCTTCAGTTCCTCATTTCTGTTTTGGTATCCATGTTAGCGGTTCACCAGGCATCCCTCAGGACATAGCTGAATTACAAATTCTGGCATCAATGGGTTTGCCTTAAGGTCACTATTTGTCAGAAACAAAAATTGAAGGCACAC